TATAGCCACCTCGGCGACATGCTCTTACAAAGGTTTCGGGCAATCGGTTCCCCTTCGAAACGCCCATGTAGGCCGTTCATAGTGGATCACTGAAGAGGCTCGCGTAAGGCATTCCGGTACCGTCATTCATGTCGATTCTAGCAGGGTTTTTGATGGCGGAAATGGGCCTTTATGGAGGCTTCTTTTCCTCCTCCTTGTAGGCGGGTCAGTGAAAGCGCCACTTTGGAGGGCTGGGCCGGGCCCTGAAAGACAAGGCCAGGCGAAACTTTTTTCTGGGAGGAATTTCTGGGATTTCCGGGGAGCAACTGGTCGAGATGCTTATCAGGATCAACAGCAAGTGAGGGTCAATGAGGCAGACGCCACGCGCAGCAAGTTCGTTTTTTTCAAACGGGGTTTGGGGCTTAGGGCTCGTGGTTTGGGGATGTTTGGGGTTTAGGGCTCGTGTTTTGGTGTTTTGGGTTTGGGTTTGTTGTGGTGTCGATTTCAGGTTTTATGGTTTCGAATGTAGGCTTTGGGTTTAGATTTGAGGGTGTAAGTAATCACCGCCAGGGCATCAACCAGCCACCACGTCGCGATGAAGCCAACCCCGAACTTCAAACCCTAAACCCCTCAGTCCTGCAAGCACTTGAACCCTTAAGCCCTATCCCTTGTCGTGAAGCTTACATAAGCCCTAAACCTGAAGCATGAAGCCCTCAACCCTAACACCTGCAGCCCTCTAAGGCTTTGTCGGCTTAGCACAGTTTGAGACCACAGTCGCACCCACATTTCCAAGACCAGTGAGCGACTAGAAATTACGGTTTCCCGAAGCCGCTGTCCAGGTGGCCGGCTTCCTGCGCACTCTGATCTTGACATGTCTTTGTGGCGGATTATACTTCTCGGTATTTGGCGACGCGTACTTGTTTTCCATACATTCCACGGTGGGCGCCTCCGATTCCATGCTGCTGAATCCTGCCCTTGTGGACTGGTCGCGGAGCAAGTTCAATGCGTGGGATAGCAGCCGGCTGCGTCAGCACTGGCTTTTCCAGTGGGCCCCTGGCGGTGTTTCAGCAATTGGTCTTTTTGATCTGGCTCGGCACTCGTATTTGGGCCTTCTGGGCTTCTACTTGCTCTGTCTGCTCTGCGCAGTCCTGAACTCCTGCGCGCCCAGCTTGCGAGCGCGGATTCGAAAGCGCAGAGTTCCTGAGGACGTGAAGCGCTGGGCCGTAAAAGAGTTGCTTCAGAGCACTCGCCCCCAAGATTTCTGCACGGTGCACAAGAGTCTCAGGCCGGTGGTCGGTTTCTCGTGGCCTTGGCGGGCCGGGCTGTGGCAGGGCTTGGCCTTGCTGGTGCTGGATGTTGGGCTTGACATCAACACCATCGTCACCTTGCTGGTCACGAAGCACCACCTGTTCGCTGGGGTGATCAGCTTCCTGGTGGCTCGCAGTGTGCTGAAGCAGCTGTCTGCCCTCCCTCCTTGGCGTCTCCGCGAGGCCTGCAGGAATGGAGCCTGCTTCCCGGAGAACCGTTGAGTTGTCTTCCACAATCTTGAGAAAGCACCGAGTCAGTCACACAGATCTAGAGGTCGTAGTCAGGTATACAACACTTTCAAGACGTGTCGAGCCAAGCTCTCCATCCCTGAGTCTCCCTGCGTCACACGCACATGACGCACAGGCGATCAAGGACTCCTTGCGCACAGGCCTCATGCGGAAGGACCTCTTGGACTTCATCGAGGTGGCTTGGACTCAGCTCGGGTCGTATCCCAAAACCACATCCTACAGAGCATCTCTACAGTGCCCATATCCTGGATGATCCTTACAGCGCCCTCATAGGACGTGGATGTTCAAAGTAAAGGGCCTGCTTCGGCGTTTGACAGGGACTTTTTTGACTTGAGTCTTCGTGTTGTAGCTTGGAACCATGGCAAGCGAAGCTTCTTCTGGCAAGTGCCGCAGCCGCTGTTGAGGAGGAGCAACGCTCGGAGGCATTTTTCTGCGGGTGCATCACCGCCTACTCGCTTCTCTACTCAGCCCAGACGGCTGATCAACTGCTTGTGCAGTTCTTGAGCCTCCTCCTGAGCACGTGGCTTTTTGCAGGCGGGATGCACATATATACCGGTGCGTCAGCTTGAGGCGCACTTTTTTTCGTGGCCTGTGGAGTTTTGACAAGTTTCCAGGCTATGCTGTGCGAGTTTGTGACCTGGAGTTCAAGCTTGCGCCCGATGACATCCCGGCCAGTGAAGAAGCACCCAGAGCCGACACCGTGGGCGTCCGCATCGATGCAATCGAAGAGGACCTTAGAGTTCTCCACTGCGTTACTTTCCTTGGTTAGCTTAGGGTTCTCCATGTTGGTGGAGCATGGCTTCCTACGCTAGGTTTTCAAACCATGTTTCCAGGAGGAGCAGAGCCAGGCCGTGCAAAAACAAACGGTTGTCTTGTCACAAGGCTTGTGGTTCATTTTGCAATGTATGTACGACCTTGCACATGGGCATGTTCGGACGTCGGAGTCGCTTTCTACGCAAGGACTCCCCGGCACCGCAGCACGCTCGGGGCAAAGACGCCCCTTCCGAGAATTTGCATGAGGAGACCAGGGAGCGCTCGGAGCAGGGGAGTCTTTAGGGCTTTATTGAAGATAATAGCGGGGAGGCGGACCGTGGGACCCGACGGAGTCTTCCCACCAGTGTCAAACCACGTTTGTTCAAACCCATGCGTTGTACTCACAAAGGTCTGGTACGACTTTACAGAGATGACAGAGATGTTGTGAGATGTATCTGAATATCTATTATCCATCTATCTATCCATCGATCTAATCCATTAATCTATCTATCTATCTATCTATCTATCTATACACATGGTAAAGTTGAGTTTGAGTGATTTTGAGTGTAGAGAACATCGCCAAAGGTTGTCGCGCCCTCATGCGTGGACACGCAGAGATCCCGCCGAAATTCCCGGCAATGACTGACGGTCTAAGTACGAGGACTAGCAGTCCCCTTGCGATTTCCGTGCCCAGATACCAGCACGCATGCGCTGACCACAGCATCCATGCCCGCACCATGAGCTAGCAGAAGCAGTGTTGCATAGGATTTTGCCAGCTGACTGAGCAGCGTCCCGAGCACAGAAGTACAGAGATGCCAGCGGTGCAGCTCATGAGATCGCCCCATGCGATTGCTTCCTTCGGCTACGTCTGGAGTGAGAAACCGACTCGAACAGCAGTCGCGTTTCCCTGTAGTGCCCAACCCTAGATGCTTAGAGTACCGAAGGAGGAAGGGCAACTGTAGTAGGGGCAGACATTAGAAAAGCTGATTGCATCTACCAGTTCCTGATCATGATCAAAGCCCTCAGACGCCCAGACTGCCAGCGAACGCGCCCGAAAGCGTGCGACACGACATGGCCGCATGAGTTTCTTTCACGCCCCCCGATGTTCACTGACAAGGCGAGCGACGGCAAGCGAGAAAGGCCGTGCGCAAAAGTGCAAGTATCTCCGAAGAGTAATTGAAGTGTAGTATAGTAAAATCCGGACCAGGATGCTCCCATGTTGGGGATAGACGTTCCCGTCTCAAGAAGCGCCCAAAGCTTCGCACCTTGGAACGGCCCCTGAGTCATACACCTTCGAGTCTTATAAGACGGCAGCCGGGTCCATGAGAGGAGCTTCCCGGAGCCCCGGAGCCGAACCTCATGGGCTCAGAATCCGTGCCTGGGCCAACCAGAACAACAAAGTGAATGTTGGAAGGCGTCATATGAGTCATATGTTCAGAGTGGTCCAACCACAACGTGCACTTAAGGTAGAGGAGCCTCCGGCCATCTCCACGGACATGTTGGACGTTGGGATTTTGGTGATTGACAGCGCCGAAGCCGTCGACACAAAGGCGCGTACGTGGGCCCGAAGGGCATCCCCCGACCTCCCAGAATCGTTTTGTCTTGCTGTCGCGTGGCACCTCCCTTCGCAACCTGAGACATACATCTGTGTAGACGTGTACATGCCGGTGCAGACAGCTGGCACTTCTTGACGTTGTGTCCTCATTGTCCCTTCTTGGAGGAGGAAGCATGGCAAAGTGCGCCTTGTTCGCCAGGACCTTCAAATGAGGCCGGGGTGCTGTGATGCTGTGTGATCTCGCAGGTTGGGGATGTTGGGAGAGGCGAGGTTTCTCATCCCGTTCGGAGACTGCTGTGATGGTTGATGGTGTGGCGTGCGGCAGTGAGAAAGAAAGTCCTCCTGAGGTCTGCGTCTCTGAAGTTGCCATTGACCATCGCGGAGGACCGTCGTGCTCCTGCATGGTGCAGCGAGGAGAGCTCGAATCCTGTCGACCTTGAGTCGAAGTTGCCTCCAGCCAAGAAGGGCAAAGCTAAGGGTTTGAAGAAGAATGGGGGGCGGAGCACCCGGAAATCCAGGGCCAAGCCCTCCAGGGTCTCCACCGGTGCTGCTTGAGCACCTGCAAGGGCTTAGCCCAAACACCCCAGCAGCCTCAGAGCCTCCACGCCTTGAGCATCTCACTTGGTAAGACCCCATGGCTCCATACTGAGCCCTTGCAGCCCCCCATGCACACAAGCTCCGGCAAGGGGCATGCGTGACAATGTCACGTTGTTTCCTGGTGCAGAACTTGTGCCGGGCGAACTCTTTGAGCCGCATGAGGCGAAATCTTTGTTAACCAACTTTTCAGGTGAGCCTACGGCAATCAAAGACATGGCCGATGTCTCATGCAAGTATATCGTACAATGTGTTCAGGACAGTACACTTTCTTCGAGAAAAAACATGCGCAAAAAACACAACGTGCTGTATGTACTGTAGCGTGGCGGCTGCAATTGGCCCACCGGCTTGGGTGCTCTGGCACTCTAGCTTCTGTTGTGAGAATTCTGGCGGAGGATGCCGAAACAACGTGTCGGGGCTCGATCTCAGCTCTTGCCAAGGCATGTTTTCCTGCGACCCAAAACGACTGCAGAGTTTGCAATGTCTACTGCTTCATGCCCAGAAAACAGCCGACGATCCCTAAAACATGCAGGCCTAAAAGCACCCCAATCTTCCACACCGAGGCAGGCTTGTGACCAGCACGTTGGATTGCGAAGGGGGCCCAGCCTTGCAGGGTTTAAGGTTTAGGGTTTAGGGTTTAGGGTTTAGGGTTTAGGGTTTAGGGTTTAGGGTTTAGGGTTTAGGGTGTGCCCGAACTGCCTCTGTCCGTCTTTCCGCTTGGGGACAGAAGGTTTCAGCATCTTTTGTTGGCTCCAGGGCTCAGGGTTTCGAGGTTTAGGACTGGTTTGTTTTTTGTTTTTTTTTTTTTTTTGGGGGGGGGGGGTTCGGGGTTTAGGGCGTTGAGGCCTTTTTATGGGTTAAGGAGGGTTTGGTTGAGCTCTCATAGCTTCAGCTTGGGCCATCTCGGTGGTAGGGGGTGGGGGCTCCCGGCGCAACCCGGCCACCCCTTCACAGGTCAACCCTCTTCCCTAAGTGAAATCCTGAAGCCTAAAAGTACCCTAAACCCTAAACCCAGCGTAACCCTAAACGTCGCGAACCTTCGGCGCCCCCCCCGTCCTTTAGCCCTTTCGAAGCCTCCTATTCCGCGAGAGCCTGAAACGAATCCTGCAGCCCCAAAACTCCTGAAATCCCAAAAGGCTCAAACCCTCATCGCTTCAAATTCAGCTTGAGGTTCAAGGGTTTAGGGTTTGGGGTTTGGGGTTTAGGGTTGAGGGTTTAGGGTTAAGGTCGTGGCATGCGTGGCGGCGAGGTCGCGGGAGATGCCTCAACACGGCCCCTCCTTGACAAGTGCCTCGGCTCGGTCAGGTTTGAAGCAGCTTTCGGGGTGTCGCCTTGCACCCTAACCCCTGAACCCTACAAACCCTAAACCCTCTAAGCCCCCTAGACTCTCTAAACCCCCTGAACCCTCTAAATCCCATAAACCCTCTAAATCCCGCAAACCCTTAAAACCCCCTAAACCCTCTAAGCCCCCTAAACCCCTAAGCCCTCAACCCCTACGCCCTAGACCTTCTAAACCCGCTAAACCCCCAAACCCTCCAAACCCTCCAAACCCTCTAAACTCTACAAACCCTCCAAACCCCATGAACCCTCTAAACCCTCTAAACCCAAAAACCCCCTAAACCCTCTAAACCCTCTAAACCCTCTAAACCCCTAAACCCCCTGAACCCAAAACCTTCTAAACCCCCTAAACCCCTAAACCCTCTAAGCCCTTTAAACCCTATAAACCCTAAGCCCTCTGAACCCCTAAACCCTAAACCTTCTAAACCCCTAAACCCTCTGACCCATCTAAACCCCCTAAACCCTCTAAACCTTCTGAACCTCCTAAATTCCAAGCCTCTAAGCCCCTAAGCCCTAAACCTTCTAAACCCCCCTAAACCCTCTAAATCCTACAAACCCTCTAAGCCCCCTAAACTTAGAACTGTACTTATAACCCACTCGTAAGCCCCTCAAGTGCCCCAATATGCATATAAGTACAGTTATAAGTACAGTTAGCATTGGTTAGTGAGCACCATGAACCTCCAAGTAGAACCAATAACCCGTTCAGAGTTTTGGAGCCAACTGTTGCCAGTGGGTGTAGGGCACAGGGTTTAGGGTTAGTCTTTGGGATTTCGGGCTTAGGGTACAGGGTTTTTAGGGTACACTCTTTAGGGTTTCGGCTACCAGGGGAGCTGCGCGGCGTCGCAAGATCGTGAGAGCCCCCAAGCTCCATGAAGCGAAGCCCTTTCTGGGGTTTCCAAAGCGGCCCCAAGAGCCCAACAAGAACTTTTGGGACTTATAGGGGTTGGTGTTTAGGGGCACTAAGGGGGTTTAGGGTTTCATGTTTAGGGGTAGTAGCGTAGAAGCGGAAGCTCCTCAGGACGCGCGTCGGGGCTTCCAGGTTTTTGGGGGGGCCGGGTGCTAGAGGAGGCAATGACCCCACATCCCCGCCTATCAACGACCATTCTCCGAAGCAACTTCTAGAGTGGTCGACTTCCAAGCCGGCGAAGCCCCCAAATGCAGGCCTGAACTCCCGAACCCCTCAACGCCCTGAACTCCCTGAACTGCCTGAGCGCTTGCAACGCTGCCTTGAAAACTCCCTACAAACCCCATAAGCCCTAGAGAAACCCTGTAAACCCTCTACGCTCTACACCCTAACCCTTCCCCCGCTCCCCAGCCGTTCAACTCCAGGTCCGGCCCCTTGGCGCTCACCTGGGGGCGAGCCCGAAGGCGCCTTGCTTGGGGCTTCATTGGATACTTTCAGGTAGAGTTTCAGGGCTAAGTTGAGGGTTTAGGGAGGGCTTTTAAGGGGTTTAGGATCCTTAGGGCCTTCGGGTACTTGAGAGTAGGGCCATAAGTCGGGTCATAAGACATGAAACCCTACAAGGCTTGGTAGCCCAAATGAAAGAGGAAAAGCGTGCCCTGATGATCATATGGCTACTGGGCGACCAAATACGTCTTAGACTTACCGATGAAGCTCCAAGTAGGGTCTTTTGAATGGCTTGTGGGTTTCACCACTGGCTGCAGGGTTTTTCGGGGCTTCGGGTTCAGAGTTTAGGGATGTTGTTCGGGGTTTGCTTGGGCTTTCACAAAGGGGCTTCATGAAGGCATGGTTCAAGGTGTTGCGGCTTCGGACGGGAAGGTTCAGGGTTCATGTTTAGTTCAGGAAAGCTTCTGGCTTGGGTTCTTGAGGGGTTGAAGGCGCGAGGAGTTGAAGGCGCAAGGATTCGAAAGGCTCTCCGTGACTAAGGCAGCCTGAACATCATGCTGCATTGGGATTAGGCTTGATTGAGCTGTTGGTCTCTGGGGGTGGGGAGGGGGGCCTTTTCTGAACATTGAGATGGGTGTCTTCGTGATTGTTTGGTGTTAGGGCTGTTCGGGTCCAAAAGTGGGTTTTGCAGCATTGAAGGCATGAAAATGGCAGCAGGCACAGGTCCTCAAAGAGCCAGGACTTAAGGTTCAGGGTCGAGGAAGTAAAGGCTGTGCATGTTGTTGAATGTTTTCAGGCAGTTCTTTATCCCTTCACCCTTCACCCTAAACCCTAAACCCTAAACCCCAAACCCTAAACCCTAAACCCTAAACCCTAAACCCCAAACCCTAAACCCTAAACCCCCCAGAAGTCTTTTCGCTCCAAGGCTGGATGCCCAGCACAGCGCTGCCTGCCCAGGCCACCTGGGTGTAGAAAGCAAGCAGTCCTTAACAGGGATTATTATTCTGATTATGATGATGATTATTATTATGATGATTAATATTTCCTTAACAGTCCTTAATAGGGATTATTATTATGATGATTATTATTATGATGATTAATATTATTAACTTACTTCTCCAAATGCTAAACTTTAAACTTTTTGGGTTTCCTTATTTCGTAGGAATAATAAAGTTTAGCCTTTTTTTCCCTTGGGATTATTATTGTTAGTACGTTATACTACATGATGGGAATATTGTGGTCATAGTATGGTTTCTTACTGTTAGTACATTATGATACATGATGGGAATGTTGTGGTAATAGTATGGCAATATTCTCGAAAGCGTTCCTGGTCTTCGAAGACCTTGTGACCTTTTTTGAAGGCTGCAGGGTTTCAGATCTGGGGCTCATTGAAGGAACCAGGGAAGAAAAGATGGGTAAATTAATACATATAAAGATATATAGATATGGATACTTAGACATGATATCATGTTTGTATTCGAATATGTAGGCTTTAGGGTTTAGGGTTTAGGGTTTAGGGCTTAGGGCTTAGGGCTTAGGGCTTAGGGCTGAGGCGTTGTGCGCCAGTCTGAAGCTCGACGTGAGTTGCTGAGTGCTTTTTTGGAAAGTTTCCGTGGTTTCTTTCTGGGCTATTGAGTTTAGGGTTTAGGGTTTAGGGTTTAGGGTTTAGGGATTGGGGGGTGGGGGGGGGTTTCGCATCCGGGCTTTACGGTTGTTGGTCTAAGATTGCGGGCTTCATGAAGGCTTAGCCGTTGCAGGCTTCAGGGCTTAGAGCGACAAGCTTTCTTGTTGTTGTTGTCGTGTCGGTCGTAGGTCTTCGGGGTAAGGTTTATAGGGTTTATAAACCCGAAACGCTAAACTAAACGCTAAACCCAAAGCCTATGGAGGCCTAGGATTCGAAAGAGCACGTCCTGGGCCGGACGAGCCTGAGGAAAAATCCTCTAGGAGCCCAGCGCGGAAGTTTGAATCCCGAGCTGCCGAAACCGAAAAAAGGGCACCAAAACCCCCGGAACTGTCCGAAACTGCCCCCCAACTGTCATCTGACCCTACAGCCCCTGAAGCCTTCTCAACTCATCCCAAGTGTGAGGCCGACGCCTCTGGAAGGGTCCCGTGCAATTCCATGAGGCTCGGGACTTTGGGGGTTGGCGCGTCTTCGCTCACTATATGCAGTTGTTTTGCTTCGTGGTGCGTCTTCGCTCTCGAGGCGCTTGTTTTACTTATTGGTTCGTCTTCGCTTACTGGTGCGTCTTCGCTTACTATATGGTCTGTATGCAGTTAGCATTGATGCGTCTTCGCTTACTATATGCAGTTGCTTTGCTTCTTGCTGCGCCTGCGCTTACTATGCGCGGTTGTTCCGCTTATTGGTGTGTCTTCGCTCTGCTTACTGGCGTATCTTCACTTGCCGTGCGGTTGTTTTGCTTAGCGGTGCGTCTGCGCTCTATACGCGCTTGTTCTGCTTATTGGTGCGTCTTCGCTTACTATGTGCGGTTGTTTCGTATATTGGTACACCGTTCGCGTACTATATGATCTACAGGCAGTTGTTTTGCGTATTGGTGCGCCCTCGCTTACTATGTGCAGTTGTTGTGCTTATTGTTGCATCTTTGCTTACTCTGGAAAGAGAGAGAGAGAGAGAGAAAGAAAAACAAAAGAAAGAGACAGAGAGCGAGAGTGAATGAAAGGGAGAATGAACTAGATAAGTTGAGAGAGAACTGGAGAGAGAGAGAGAGAGAGAAAATGAGAAACAGAAAGAGAGGGCGAATGAGAGAGGGAGGGAGAATGACTGAGAGAGAGAGAGAGAGATGAGAGACAGGAGAGGAGAGTTATCGAAAGAAGAGATAAAAGTTGAGAGCGAGGTCAGAGAGAGACGAACAAGAGAAAGAGAGAGAAAGAGAGACGTGTCTCTTTTGGTTGCCGTGTACGTGGCAAGTATCTGCATCCTTGATGCAGCAGGGTTTAGCGCTGAGTTATGCTTTCGTACGGTTCTTGCGGGTTACGGATTGGGGGTTGGGGGTTGCACATTCGGAGTTTACAGCTTTCGGTTTACGATTGCGGGCTTCATGGGGGGCGTGGTTTAAGTAAGGCTTGAGGGTTTAGGGCGGCAGGGTTTGCTTGCTTTGTTGATTCGGCGGTAGGGCTTAGGATGACGTGAACGTTTATAGGGCTTGGGGCCTGAGGATTCACAAGAGCCCGCGTCACCGAAGTCTCGAACGTTCCTGTACATGTTCTTGCATCTGGCGTCGGGGTCCATTTTTGTGTCGGTCCTCGATGGCAGGCATCTGCTGAACGTTGCGTTGGGCATCTGCGTGCGTGAAAATATCTGCAATCCTTGAAAGGGGTGCTTCTGCCTTGGGGTCTTGGTGGTTTTGGGTTCTGTCGCGTTCCCTAAAGCATGCAGGGTTTTCAGAGGGGGATTCTTGCAAGGCCGGATGTGCCCCCGGACCTTCAGGGCAAGCTTGAAAGGTTCAACCCTAAACCCTAAACCCCGAACCCTAAACCCTAAACCCTAAACCCTAAACCCTAAACCCTAAACCCTAAACCCTAAACCCTAAACCCTAAACCCTCCCATCTGTCCCTACAAAGCTCTTGGAAGCCTTCGCAACTCATCCCAAGCGTGAGGCCGCCTCCGCCGGAAGCTGGGGGGGACCCATGCAACTCGAAGAGGCTTGGGATGTGTGCGTGTGCGTGCGTGTCTGTGTGTGGGTGTGGGGCAGTGGGAGGGTGAATTTCGGGCCGGGATGCCCAAGAACCGGACTCCCTTTTTGCATGCTGTGTGTTCCGAACAGAGATAAAGAGGATGTGGAGTGTCTTCTACCTGTTTAGAATTGAATAGGGGGGGGGCCCGGAAGCGGGGGATTCTATCCGCGCAGCCTGCTGACCGCTAGGGCTGCGAACTGGTTGATTCGACTTTCATGTTCCTGCAGCGCCCGGCTTTGCGCAAGCCAGGCTACTATAGCAGTTAGATTCCCAGAGCTACTCTCTTGCACGATGCTGCGCGTCCTCCAGATGTCAGGGGAGGAAGTGGCGGCGGTGCCCGTCGAGGAGCTCAGCGACGTGAAGGCTTTGAAGCACCGCTTGCGGCAGCACCATGGCATGCCTCCGCGATTCAGGCAGAGGCTGCTTCTCCATCACACGCAAACCATCTTAGATGACAATGCTGAGCTGGAGGGTGGAAGGACTCTCCAGCTGCTTTTGCTCAATTTCAACGAGCCCTCCCCTGCAACGGATGAGCTCACCGCAGCAGCCAGCTTCTGCTGTTCAGGCAGGGTCTAAATCCAAACCCTATAGGGATGTGCAGGGCTGAGGGCTTATTGCAAAGATATGAGTCGCTTAGAGTACAGCATCCTGTTCGTAGCTGCGCGTCGCGACCTTCCAGGTCGAGTCCATCTTGCTGCGGCCAGAGGACTCGGAGTTTTGGGGAGTAGGGCCACCGAACCAGGAACGCTCCCCCAAGCCCCTCAAACCTTGAAGCCGCCCCAACGTCCCCTCTTCAGGACCCCGACTTGGAGGACCCGCGTGGCGAAACACCGCTTGTCGCTGCATCCTTTTTTGGCCAACTTGAAAACGCGCGCTTGCTGCTGGAGGCGCGCGCAGACATCCACAAGGCCAGCGAGTTTCGACAGGCAGCTGCGCAGCCTCCATGGCCTGCACAGCCTCTATGGGCAGCGTCACGCGAAGGCCACGTGGATCTTGTGCAGCTCTTGTTGGAGGCCGGTGCCGATAAGGACTGGGCCGAAGACCGCAATGGAAACACGGCGCTTATGCTCGCCTCTGGGCAGGGCCATTTGGAGACAGCGAGGATGTTGCTCCAGGCTGGTGGCCTTGATGGTTTCAACTTAGGGATTGATTGCCTCTCCCACCCAAAAGACCTGGAGTATCCAGTTGGCAGCCGTGGAGTACCCCTAGCATGCCACTCCCCCCATGCCTACCCCCCAAAGACATGTGTCACGTTGGGGTTCTCGTCCGCTTCTGGAGGCCGGTGCTGACAAGGACCTGGCCAACAACTTTGGTACCACAGCTCTGATGCTGGCGTCCAAAAGTGGTCAGTCGGAGGTTGCCAGACTGCTGTTGGAGGCCGGTGCCAAGAACGACCTGACCAACAACTACGGCTACGCAGCTCTGACACTGGCCTCTCACGATGGCCATGCAGAGACTGCAAGGGTGCTGCTGGAAGCCGGCGCCGACAAGGACCTGGCTCACAACCAGGGTCACACCGCCCTGATGCTTGCCTCTGATAAAGGCCATTCAGAGACTGCGAAAGTGCTACTGGACGCTGGCGCGGACAGGGACCTGGCCATGAACCAGGGCTGGACGGCTCTGCTGCTTGCCTCTAATAAAGGCCATTCCAACACTGTGAAAGTGCTACTGGACGCTGGCGCCGACAGGGACCTGGCCAATAGTCGGGGCTTCACAGCCCTGATGATTGCCTCTGAGGATGGCCACACAGAGACTGCGAAAGTGCTACTGGACGCAGGTGCAAACAAGGACCTCACCACCGACCAGGGCGTCACGGCTCTGACACTGCTGGAGGCTGGTGCCGACAAGGACTTGGCCAGCAACGAAGGTGGCACTGCACTGATTGCGGCCTCTGAGAAAGGTCATCTTGAGACGGCACGACTTTTGCTGGAGGCCGGTGCTGACATGGACCTGGCCAACAACATGGGCTACACCGCGTTGATGCAGGCCTCTGCAAAGGGCCGTGTGGAAGTGGCCCGCATGCTGGTGGAAGCGGGCGCTGACAAGGACAGGACAAGCCACCATGGCACAACATCTTTGATGGCTGCATCCAGGGCTGGTCATGCTGGAGTTGCTCGTTTTTTGCTGCTGGAGGCCGGTGCTGACAAGGACCTGGCCGACCACAAAGGCAGGACGGCTCTGACGCTGGCCTCCAAAGCAGGCCATACTGAGATCGTCACGTTGCTGGAGGATCGGAAGCGGCCGAGGTCGCAGTGAGAGCGGATCCCTGCGACAACGAAGAAAAATTGAGCTTTGGGATTTCGGACCTGGTTTATCGTTGGGTTCGGCTTGAGCCATCATTTTGTCCTGACAGGTATATAGAGATGATTCACAGATTTTAGAGGGGTTGTAAGCTACTAGACTGGATCTCCACGCATAGACTCGGCTAAGCTTTGAGCTTTCGGGGGTCTCGCCTTGCACGTAGCGGCGTAGCGACTTCCCAGAGTTTCGGAGTGGAGGAATACTTCTTCATGAAGCTTACACCCCCGCAGAAGCCCTTCCACAAACTGTGAAATCTCAGGAGACGAGTCAGGGGTTCCGGGTTTATAGAGTGTCGGGCGAAGCCCACCCACACACACACCCACACACACACACACACTATAAACCCCACAAACCCTTCATCAACCCCCCGGAAGCAGAAACGCGTGAAACTCCAGGCCCGCCGCTTGTGCGCGACTGCGCCTTGCTCGGAGGCTCACGGGTCCTTTCAAGAGAAGTGTGCAAGGGTTGAGGATGTATAGGGAGGGTTTAAGTCGAAGGGTTTACGGATTTGGGGTACTTGGAGTTTTTACAAGCAGGGCGACTACAGTTAGCCTGCGTTTAAACCCTACTACGTCTTAGACTTACCCATGATTCTCCAAGTATCAGGGCCTCAGAATTTGAAAGAGCCCGCGTCACCGAAGTCGCGAACTTTCTTGTACACGTTGTCATCTAGTGTTGAGTGTCGGGCTTCTTTGTGCCGGCATCTGCTGAACATTACGTCCCACGACCCAGAACCCTAAGCTCCCAAATTCCTGCACCTGGACCCAACAACACCCTCAAAACATCCCCCTACAACCCCGAAGCCCGCCATCTCCAACAGAAGACGACAGGGCTGCCGCTCTGGCGATCTGCAAACGCACACCCGAAGCCGAGTCGGGGCCCCTGAACGTCTTTCCTGCTAGAACCTTATCGGGGTTTGGGGGAGGGCCTATAGGGGTCTCCAGCCTTCTGACTCCAAAGTGTTTAAGCTAAAGTTCAGAGTGCTAGCGTGGCGCCCAAAAAGCTTTGAGGAACTGAACAGGGCCGAGGGTGGCATGGCTTAGGATCTTGTAGGGGTGGGATTTCCTCCGTGCTGAAGGCTCCCTCAAAGAACCCTTTTCCTGGGCTTAGGGGCCACACAAGATGTCGGTAACCGTCTCTCCACACCGAAGTCCCGAACATGCTGCATGCGCTGTCGGCTCCTGTAGGCATGCCATGTCTGTTTGGGTCTCTGTGTGTGTACGTGTTGTCGGTCTGGGGGGGGGGGGGGGGGCAGGTTTCGAACCTTTCTTTGTGGGGGTTTGGGTGGGGGGAGACGTGTGATGAACGTTATGTTGGGTGTCTGCAGGGTTGTTCGGTGTTGGGTCTGAAAGGGGCTTTAAGAGCTGGGCTTTAAGGGTTTTGAAGGCTTTTAAGGCCTCTGGGATTTTGGGGGGATTCGGGCTTTAGGGTTTGGGGGGGTTGGAGGGTTGGGCGGGGTGGGGGGGGGCGGGCGGGGTGGATTGGGGCGGAGAGGGGGGTAATCTGCTTGCTCAATGCCGGACTCCCATCTCCGCAAGGGGGACGTTTTGGGATTAGGGTCTAAGGTTCATGCTGTATCTGAATGTTTCCTCAAAGAGGTGTACTGGCTCCAAACTTCGAACCCCAAGCTTTAAACGCCCTGAAACCTCCAACCCCAAACCATACAACCTGGACCTTCTCCAGAGCCCCATCCGCCAAGGCGAGATGCAGGCAGCTTCCCTCCGGACTCCTTTGAAGCTTTAGGGTTCAGGGTTCAGGTGTTTAGAAACGGGGTCATGGTTAAATAATGGTTTAGGGGTTTTGGAGTTTCGGGCTGCCTCAAAAAAATTGTCGGGGCTCGACTCAGCTCTCGTCGAGGCATCAGACGATTGCGAAAATCTGCAAGGTCTGTTGAGCTTAAGTCCCCCATACTCCCCTTTGGGGTTTAGGGTTTAGGGTCTACCAGGTCGACCGTTCCATGCCACAATGGCCGGTAAGCGCTCACACAGATCTAACAAACCCAATCTTCCGCTGAGGCAAGCATGTGGGGGGGAGGGAAGGGGAACTGGTAGACGAGCAGCGCGGAGGATTGCTCAGCCCAGCCCGGGGCCGAGCCTCGCAGGGACTGCAGGGATGCAGACGGGTGGCCTAGTTGCCTCTGTCCATCTTGTCGTGTGGGGATAGTTCGGAGGTTTAGGGTTGGCGTTTGGCAAGTTATGTTTTATTGTTGTTCTTTTTGTTACTTGTTTCTTCTTTTTTTTGTGGGGGGGGGGGGGGTGGTTCAGGGGTTTCGGGCTTTGGGTTGTTTTGTTTTCCCTGCTTTGAAGTCCCGAGAAGCTTTAACGATTGCCCACTCAAAACGCAAGCTCGGGTGGGGGATCTCTGTGCAACCCCGGCACCCGGCAACAACCCCTTCGCAAGGCACCAACGCTACCCCCGAACTGCACCTTAAACCCTCCCCAACCAACGAACCCCAAAAAACGTGAACCTTCGGCCCCCTTCGAAGCCTCCTTTTTCGGCGAGAGCCTGAAACGAAGCTCAAGCTCAAACCGCTAAAAAGCAACCCTGAGCCCAACCCTCTCGAATTTCACTGAAGTGATCAGAAGTGCAGATCCTCAGCCTTTTTCACCCCGGGGGCAAGGCCATGCTCTCTCACAATGTTGCAGTCTTCGCGGCGTCGGCGCTCAGCTTGCGCCTGCGCTGGACACAGGCCCTTCAACCTTTTGGGGGCTCTCACTGCTAGGCTTACCATGTCCGTTTGGGTCCGCCTGTACGTGTTGTCGGTCTTCGGGGGGGCGGGGGGGGGGGAGCAGGTTTCGATTTTTTTTGTTGGGGTAATAGGGTTTAAATCTAAAGAGATAGGGAGGGTTTAGGGTTTCGGGTTCAGGGTCTAGGGTGTAGAGTTTAGGGTACCAGGGGAGCTGCGCGGCGCACATCTCACGATCATGAGAGCCCCGAAGCTTCATGAAGCGAGGCCCTTTCTGGGGTTTCCGAAGCGCCCCCCCACGAGCCCAGCAAGATTTGTTTTGGATTTAGGGGCTAATGTTTGGGGGCACTAAGGGGGTTTCGGGTTTCATGTTTAGGGGTGTTAATCAAGGGGTGAAGACTCGTACCCCTAAGGTTGTACCCCGAAAGGTCCCCCTTAATATAGTCCTAATATGGCCCTTGTATTCCCGTGGGGATCCAAAAAAATCGTGCCCCAAAACCCAAGGGTACAACCTTAGGCATCCAAGGTAGAGAACCCCTAGAATTAAGTTGGTTTAGGGCTTCCTGTTTAGGGGTTTTTGCGCGCCGCAGCGGAAGCTGCTCAGGAGACGCGTCGAACCTCTCAAACCCGAAACCCAAAGCTCCTCACAACCCCAAAACCCCAACCCCAAACCCTCAACCCCCCCCCCCCCAAACCCGCTCAAAACCCAAAAAACAAAACCCCAAAATCCCCCAAACAAAAACCCAAAGCCCCCCCCTCCCCCCCCAAACAAGAGAAATGAAAACAAAACCCGGCCGTCTTTGTCCGAAACCCTAAACCCTAAACCCCTAAACCCCTAAACACCAAACCCCAAACCCCAAACCCCTCAATCCCTAAATCCCAAACCCTAAACCCCAAACCCTAAACCCCTAAACCCCCAAACCCCAAGCTCCAAAATCCCTAAACCCGAAACCCCACAACCCCAAAGCTCCAAAATCCCTAAACCCGAAACCCCACAACCCCAAAGCACCAAAACTCCACAAAATCTGAGCCAGCTGTGGCCTGCTTTGCCACACTGGTGGTCCTGAACCCTAAACCCTAAACCCTAAACCTTAACCCTAGATCCTAAACCCTAAACCCTAAACCCTCAGGTCTGGCCTTCGTTGCCACACTGGTGGTCCAGGTTTGCACCGACGGCGGCCAGCTCCTGGGCGCCCCACCAGCATGGGGCTTTCCGCGGGGTTTCAACCCTAAACCCTAAACCCTAAACCCTAAACCCTAAACCCTAAACCCTAAACCCTAAACCCTAAACCCTAAACCCTAAACCCTAAACCCTAAACCCTAATTCCCAAACCCAACCCTTGAGGTCTAGGGGTTAGGGTTTAGGGTGTGGGGAGCTTGGAGTTGAGGACTCAGCTGCCCAGAAACCTAAATCATAAAACGGGAATCGGGGCTTCCAGGGGCTCTATAGGCTTTGGGTGGGGTCAGAGGGTTTCGGGTTGAGAGTTTCAGGTTTTCGGTGAGTGTTTTGGGCTTTGGTTTTCTAGAACTTGCGCATGCGGCTTGAGGCTTTCGAGCTTAGGGTGGATTTCGGTCTCAGGGTTATAGGTGGGCGTTTAGGGTTCCTGTGACACGAAAAGCCCAGAATCCCGTATCCTAAGCTCTGAACCCGTAAACCGAAACCTCATACCTGTTTAGGGTTTAGGGTTTAGGGATTGAGGGGTTTGGGGTTTGGGGTTTAGGGTTTAGGGTTAAGCGTTCAAGGAGATTTCCAGGGTTTAGGGTTTAGGGTTTAGGGTACGCCCCCAGCCAGGTCTCCTTGATGCCTTCGGCGTCGGCGTAAAACACCGCGTTGCGGCCTGCGCGGGTTCACGTATGGGATTAGGGTTTAGGGTTTAGGGGTTTGGGGTTTAGGGTTTAGGGTTTAGAGGCTAGGTGGGGGGCTTCCAGGTTTAGGGGGGCCGGGTGCTGGAGGAGGCAACGGGTTGCGGGCGCCAGCTTCGTTGGGGCTAAGATTAGGGCCTTTCGGCGTTGAGTGTGAGTGCTTCTTAGGAGCCTCGTGCGAGTTTTGTGGGGCCTGTTTGGGGTTGGGACGGGCCTGCTGGTTTCGGGCAGCAAGGTTTAGGGTGTAGAGTGTTAGAGTGTTAGGGTTTAGGGCTTAGGGTTTAGGGTTTAGGAGTTGTGTGTCAGTCTGAAGCTCGACGTGAGTTGCTGAGTGCGTTTTGGAAAGTTTCTGTGCCTTTTTTCTGGGCTATTGATTGGGGGTGGGGGGGGGGGGGGGGTTTCGCATCCGGACTTTACGGTTGTTGGTCTGGGATTGCGGGCTTCATGCGGGCTTAGCCGTTTCAGTCTTCAGGGCTTAGAGCGGCAAGCTTTCTTGTTGCTGTTGTCGTTTCGGTCGTAGGGCTTCGACGTAAGGTTGATAGGGTTTATAAAGCCGAAACGCTAAACTAAACCCGAAACCCTAAGCCTATGGAGGCCTCGGATTCGAAAGAGCACGTGCGGTATCGGGTCTTTAAGGAGGAGGGCTCCTGGGGAGTTAGATGCATAGGGAACCTAAAGGGAAGCTTCGGGAGCTTTGGGGAGTAGTGAGGAGTCTTCGGGAAACCTTGGGCTACATAAAACCCTTGAACCCCCTCCCTTAAGGACCCTATAATCAGGGTTCGGTGCTGGTCTACCCCTCAGCCCTAAACCCGAAACCCTACATTTGGAATCGTGTCACGAAGAGCATTTGACACCCCCAAACCCTAAACCCGATCTGTCTGAAGCATAGAGCGAACCAACCCTTATGTAGCTGCCACGTAAGGAAGGGCGCAAAGGTTCGCTGGAGTTGCCTGTTGTTTTCGGTGCTTAGAGGCCTTGGTTTTTGCGGGTTTGGGTTCTTCAGGGGGTGGAAGGGATGAGAAGCAGTTCCATAAAACTGCAGGGTCCGAGGGGGAGGGCGCTGGTTGCTTAACCGGTCCAAGAAGTTTTCGGAGAAGCCCCAAAAACCTTCGAAACACCCGGGACCTCTCAAACACGCTCTCTCCAAGACCGAGCCCTGCAGCCCTCAAGCATGCTAAACCCGAAACCCGAAACCCGAAACCCTAAACCCTAAACCCTAAACCCTAAACCCTAAACCCTAAACCCTAAACCCTAAACCCTAAACCCTAAACCCTAAACCCTAAACCCTGAACCCTAATCCTAAACCCTAAACAATGTTGATCCGGACTCCCTGAACACCTCACACAAAACGTCCTGTGTTGGGCCGGACGAGCCTGAGGAAAACCCCTCTGGGAGCCCAGCGCGGAAGTTTGAATCCTGAGCTGCCGAAACTGAAAAGAAAACACCGAAACTCTCGGAACTGTCCGAAACTGCCCCCCAACTGTCATCTGACCCTACAGCCCCTGAAGCCTTCTCAACTCATCCCAAGCGTGAGGCTGACGCCTCTGGAAGGGTCCTGTGCAATTCCACGCGGCTCGGGACTTTGGGGGTTGGCACGTCTTTGCTAACTAGATGCAATCGTTTTGCTTCTTGGTGCGTCTTCGCTCTAGAGGCGCTTGTTGTGCTTACTGGTTCGCTTACTGTGTGCAATTGCTTTGCATATTGGCGCGTCTTCGCTTACTATATGGTCTACTTATGCAGTTGCTTTGAGCATTGATGCGTCTTCGCTTACTATATGCAGTTGCTTTGCTTCTTGTTGCGTTTGCGCTTACTATGTGCGGTTGTTCTGCTTATTGGTGCGTCTTCGCTTTGCTTACTGGCGTATCTTTGCCGTGCGGTTGTTTCGCTTAGCGGTGCGTCTGCGCTCTATGTGCGCTTGTTCTGCTTATTGGTGCGTCTTCGCTTACTATGTGCGGTTGTTCCGTGTATTGGTACACCGTTCACGTACTGTATGATCTACAGGCAGTTGTTCTTTCTTATTGGCGCGTCTTCGCTTACTATGTGCAGTTGTTTTGCTTTTTGTTGCGTCTCTGCTCACTCTGGAGAGGGAGAGAGAGAAAGAGAAAAAAAACGAAAGAGACAGAGAGCGAGAGTGAATGAAAGGGAGAATGAACTAGATAATTTGAGAGAGAACTGGAGAGAGAGAGAGAGAGAAAATGAGAAAGAGAAAGAGAGGGCGAATGAGAGAGGGAGGGAGAATGACCGAGAGAGAGAGAGAGAGAGAGAGAGCGAGATGAGAGACACGAGAGCAGAGTTATCGAAAGAAGAGATAAAAATTGAGAGCGAGGTTAGAGAGAGACGAACAGGAGAAAGAGAGAGAGAAAGAGAGACGTGTCTTTTTTGGTTGCCGTGTACGTGACAAGTATCTGCATTCGGGTTCGTCTTGGGGTTTGGACAGGAGTTTTCCTGTGGTTTGGGGAGGAAACCTTGATGCAGCAGGGTTTAGCGCTGAGTTATGCTTTCGTATGGCTTTTGTGGGTTACGGATTGGGGATTGGGGTTGCACATTCGGAGTTTACAGCTTTCGGTTTACGATTGCGGGCTTCATGGGGGGAGTAGTTTAAGGCTTGAGGGTTTATGGCGGCAGGGTTTGTTTGTTTTGTTGATTCGGCGGTAGGGCTTAGGATGACGTGAACGTTTATAGGGTTTGGGGCCTGAGGATTCACAAGAGCGCGCATCACCGAAGTCTCGAACGTTCCTGCACATGTTCTTGCATCTGGCGTCCATTCTTGTGTCGGTCCACGATGGCAGGCATCGAACGTTACGTTGGCATCTTCGTGCGTGAAAACATCTGCAATCCTTGAAAGGGGTGCTTCTGGGGGCCTTGGGGTCTTGGTGGTGTTGGTTCTGTCGCGTTACCTAAAACATGCAGGTTTCCCAGAGGGGGATTCTTGCAAGGCCGGATGTGCCCCCGGACCGCTTGAAAGGGCCCACCCTAAACCCTAAACCCTAAACCCTAAACCCTAAACCCTAAACCCTAAACCCTAAACCCTAAACCCTAAACCCTACTAAACCCTAAACCCTAAACCCTCCCATCTGACCCTACAAAGCGTGAGGCCGCCTCCGCCGGAAGCTGGGACCCATGCAACTCGAAGAGGCTTGGGACGTGTGCGCGTGCGCGTGTGTGTGTGGGTGTGGGGCAGTGGGAGGGTGAATTTCGGGCCGGGATGGCTTTGGGGCCTTAACCGCCTTAACGTGACTTGCGGCCCTAAACCCCAATACCCTGAAGGGAGCGGCGGAGCTCCCGTAGCGGTCTTAGGGCTCGCGAACCAGTCTCCAAAACCTAAGAACCACCCTGACACACCCCCCTCTCGCACGCTTAAGCACGAGTTCAACAAGTAATGAAGAGGATGTGGAGTGCCTTCAACTTGTGTGGGAGAGTGGGGGAAAAAGCGGGGGATTAATTCGGGGAGTCTATCCGTGCGGTCTGAAGGGGCTGTGAATTCTTTGATCGGACTTGTCATGTTCTCCTGCAGCCCCGGCTGTAGCAGTTCGATTCCTGACGCCTGCTCTCTTGCACGATGCTGCGCGTCCTCCAGATGTCAGGGGAGGAAGTGGCGGCGGCGCCCGCCGAGGAGCTCAGCGACGTGAAGGCTTTGAAGCAGCGCTTGCAGCAGCAACATGGCATGCCTCCGCGATTCAGACAGAGGCTGCTTCTCCATGACACGCAGGCCATCTTGGATGACACGGCCGAGCTGGAGGGTGGAATGACTCTCCAGCTGCTTTTGCTCAATTTCAACGAGCCCTCCCAAGCTGCAACGGATGAGCTCACCACAGCAGCCAGCCACGGTTCTGCTGTTCAGGCAGGGTCTTACTAAATCCAAACCCTATAGGTAACGATGTGTAGGGCTGAGGGCTTATTGCAAAGATATGAGTCGCCTAGAGTACAGCATCCTGTTCGTAGCTGCGCGTCGCGACCTTCCAGGTCGAGTCCATCTTGCTGCGGCCAGAGGACTCGGAGTTTTGGGGAATAGGGCCACCGAACCAGGAACGCTCCCCCAAGCCCCTCAATTCTTGAAACCGCCCGAACGTCCGCTCCTCAGGACCCCGACTTGGAGGACGTGCGTGGCAAAACACCGCTTGTCGCTGCATGCTTTTTTGGCCAACTTGAAAACGCGCGCTTGCTGCTGGAGGCGCGCGCAGACATCCACAAGGCCAGCGAGTTTCGACAGGCAGCTGCGCAGCCTCCATGGCCTGTACAGCCTCTATGGGCAGCGTCACGCGAAGGCCACGTGGATCTTGTGCAGCTCTTGTTGGAGGCCAGTGCCGATAAGGACTGCGCCACAAACCGTCAGGGCATGACCGGCATGACCGCTTTGATGGTGGCCTCAAGGTATGGCCACGTGGATACAGTTCGGGTCTTGTTGGATGCCGGTGCTAACCTAGGCGGAAACAATGGAAACACGGCGCTTATGCTCGCCTCTTGGCAGGGCCATTTGGAGACAGCGAGGATGTTGCTCCAGGCTGGTGGCCTTGATGGTTTCAACTTAGGTATTGATTGCCTCTCCCACCCAAAAAGACCTGGAGTATCCAGAGCATGCCACTCCCCCCATGCCTACCCCCAAAGACATGTGTCATGTAGGGGTTCTCGTCCGCTTCTGGAGGCCGGTGCTGACAAGGACCTGGCCGACAACAATGGTAACACAGCTCTGATGCTGGCATCCAAAAGTGGTCAGTCGGAGGTTGCCAGACTATTGTTGGAGGCCGGTGCCAAGAACGACCTGACCAACAACTACGGCTACGCAGCTCTGACACTGGCCTCTCACTTTGGCCATGCAGAGACTGTAAGGGTGCTGCTGGAAGCCGGCGCCGACAAGGACCTGGCTCACAACCAGGGTCACACCGCCCTGATGCTTGCCTCTGATGAAGGCCATTCAAAGACTGCGAAAGTGCTACTGGACGCTGGCGCGGACAGGGACCTGGCCTTGAACCAGGGTTGGACGGCTCTGCTGCTTGCCTCTACTAAAGGCCATTCCAACACTGTGAAAGTGCTACTGGACGCAGGTGCCAAAAAGGACCTCACCAACGACCACGGCGTCACGGCTCTGATAGTTGCCTCTCTTAATGGACATTCGCAGACAGCGAGGGTGCTGCTGGAGGCTGGTGCCGACAAGGACTTGGCCAGCAACGAAGGTGGCACTGCACTGATTGCGGCCTCTGAGAAAGGTCATCTTGAGACGGCACGACTTTTGCTAGAGGCCGGTGCTGACATGGACCTGGCCAACAACATGGGCTACACCGCGTTGATGCAGGCCTCTGCAAAGGGCCGTGTGGAAGTGGCCCGCATGCTGGTAGAAGCGGGCGCTGACAAGGACAGGGCAAGCCACCATGGCACAACATCTTTGATGGCTGCATCCCGGCTTGGTCACGCCGGAGTTGCTCGTTTTTTGCTGCTGGAGGCCGGCGCGGACAAGGACCTGGCCGACCACAAAGGCAGGACGGCTCTGACGCTGGCCTCCAAAGCAGGCCATGGTGAGATCGTCACGTTGCTGGAGGATCGGAAGCGGCCGAGGTTGCAGTGAGAGCGGATGTCCACGACAAAGAAGGAAAATTGAGCTTTGGGATTTCGGGACCTGGCTTATCATCTTTGGGTTCGGCTTGAACCCATCATTTTGTCCTGACAGGTATACAAAGATGATTCAGAGATTTTAGAGGGGTTGTAAGCTACTAGACTGGATCTCCACGCATAGACTCGGCTAAGCTTTGAGCTTTCGGGGGTCTCGCCTTGCACGTAGCGGCGTAGCGACTTCCCAGAGTTTCGGAATGGAGGCATACCGCTTCATGAAGCTTACAAGCGCCCGCAGAAGCCCTTCCACAAATCGCGAAATCTCAGGAGACGAGTCAGGGGTTCCGGGTTTATGGAGGGTCGGGCGCGCGCGCGTCCCATGCTGCATGGAGGAGGCATTGCCCCGCATGATTTTTGCTCGGCAGTCTCAACGCCGGAGCTCCCCCCCCTCACCCAGCCTAAACGCCCGTTCTCCGAAACGCCCAACTCCTAACGACGTACACCCCACAAGCTCACGAAGCCTCAAATGCAGCCCTAAACAGACCTGAGCTCCTCAATTCCCTTAACTTCCTAAGTAAATGCTTTACAACGTTGCTTTGAACGAACACACACACACACACCATAAACCCGGCAAGCCCTTCATCAACCCTCCCCCCGGAAGCAGAAACGCGTGCAACTCCAGGTCCGCCGCTTGTGTGCGACTCCGCCTTGCTCGGAGGCCCACGGGTCTTTTCGAGAGAAGTGTGCAAGGGTTCAGGATTTAGAGGGAGGGGTTACATTCAAGAGTGTACGGGTTTGGGGTACGCGGAGTTCTTACAAGCAGGGCGACTACAGTTAGCCTGCGTTGAGCCCTACTGAGTCTTAGACTTGCCCATGATTCTCCAAGTATCAGGAGCCCGCGTCACCGAAGTCGCGAACTTTCTTGTACGTGTTGCATCTAGTGTTGAGTGTCGGGTTTATTTGTGCCGGCATCCTGCTGAACATTGCATGAGGTCCCACGACCCAGAACCCTAAGCTCCCAAACTCCTGCACCGTGGACCTAGGAAACCCCCCTACAACCACGAAGACCGCCATCCCCAACGGACAAGGCTGCCGCTCTGGCGATCTGCAAACGCCCGCCCCGAAGTCGAGTCGGGGCCTTTGAACGTCTTTCCTGCTGTAACCTTATCGGGGTTTGGGGGAGGCCCTATAGGGCCTCCATCCTTCTCACTCTCAGGTGTTTCTAAGCTTGAAGGGCTCAGTGGGAATGAGGCCTTCGGGCTGGGATCTTGGGTGGGGGTTTTAGCTCTTTTCTTCGGGCGTCACCGTTTTTGAGGGGGTTGACAAGGCAGAGGGTGGCATGGCTAAGGATCTTGTAGGGGTGGATTTCCTCCGTGCTGAAGGCTTTGGAGTTTCCTGGGCTCAGGCTTCTGTAGGCGTGCTATGTCTGTTTGGGTCCATCTGCACGTGTTGTCGGTTTTCGGGGGGGGGGGGGGGGGGGGGGGCAGGTTTCGAGTTGTTTTGTCGGGGTTTCGGGGCGGACCTCATGAACGTTATGTTAGGTGTTTGCGGGGTTGCTTGGTGTGAGGGCGGGTCACGTGGACGCCTTTCAGCGAAACCTGTGTCGGGTCAGAAGGTGGGTTACAATCTTGTTTTCACTCCCAGCGCTTGGGGGCATCGGGCAGCGAACTTAGGACTACATTTTACATGAACCCGAAAAATTGTTGGTTTAGGGCTCCCGGTTAGAGTATTCATGTGGCCAAGGTTGTGCCAACCGATGTCGACCCTACACCTTATTTCCTAACCCTAATTACTCCCTAAACCCTAATTTCTCCCTAAACCCGAAACCCTAAACCCCAAGCCCCAAGCCCCAAGTTTCAAGCCCCAAACCCTAAAACCTTCGCTTCCACCTCCGAGGAACCTCGTGGAATGGAACGCCCTTGGCCTTGGCAGTTTAAGGGCCTGAAAGGGGTTTAGGGTTTAGGGTTTGGGGTTTAGGGCTTTGAGGGGCTTTGAGGGGCTTTAAGGGGCTTTGAGGGTTTGGGGGGTTGGGGGGGAGAGTGGAGTGGAGTGGGGCGGGGGCAACTCCCTGCTCAATACCGGACTCCCATTTCCGCGGGGGCGACGTTGTGGGTTTAGGGTGTAGGCTTCATGGTGTAGTGATTGTTTCTCCAGCAAGATGATGCACTTTTATGACGCTTCAAACCCCAAGCCCTATAAGCAGCCTGAACCACGCTAAACCCTGGAACCCCTCCAACCTCGTTCCCTAAAGCCTGAACCCCAAACTCTAAACCCAAACCCCCTTCCACCTCCGAGGAACCGCAGTGAATGGACCGCCCTTGGCCTTGGCAGTTCGACAAGGCTGGGCTTGGCCCGAGGGTAGTTCTTGTGGGGCTTTGGGGGGGCTTTCGGGTCTGATGACTTTTGGGTACGCCCGCTTGAGTTTTGCCCAGAAAACCCCACAACCCGAAACGCTAAGCCCTCAACCCTAAGCCCCCCCCCCCCCGCCCCGCGCCCCATACCCTAAACCCAAACTCTTCATCCAGAGGTGCTCGCTGATGACGCGGAGGCGAGAGTTGCTGAGCCTCGCAGCCTTTAGGGTTTAGGGTTTAGGGTTTAGGGTTTAGGGTTTAGGGTTTAGGGTCTTTTGGGGTCCCCGCAAACTGTAATGCAACAGTTGGTGACAATATACCGACGTACAGACGCACATAATGGTTTTAGAAACTTGGTATTGCGGCCCTCAACCCGAAACCCTAAACCCCAAGCCCACAGCTTTCAGCAGGGTTTGAGTCAAACTTGTTTGGACTCAGTGGACCTTAAACATATGAAGGGCATTTAGGGTTTATCGGTTTTGGGTGTAGCATATGAACAGGGCTTTGGGAGGTTTGGGGTATTTTGGGTTTAGGTTTATTCGTATTGAGGGCATTTAGGGTATTGGGGTTGACAGTCTTAGGATGCAAAGTTTGGGGTTTGAGTATTTCGGCGTAAGGGAGTTTCGAGCGTCTTCAAACGCTTTAGGGTTTTGGGAAATCATATCTCACGTTTAGGGTTTGAGGGATTGGGATTAAGAGGACCATGCTGCTCGTTCTTTTTCGGTGGGTGGGAGGGGAGGTTCTCTAGGGTTTTTCTCGAAGCTTTGCTTAGCAAATCGTGCTTTCTTGGATTGACAATGTTTTTGCTGCGCAAAGTATTAATCAAATACTATACGAAACCTGTCCGCTGAAGTACCTTGTTTTTTCATACATTCAAGAAACATTCATTGCATGCGATTTAATTCCTCATTCGATGCGAAGTAAACCTAGAGCACTGTGCAGGTGGCGGAGTTGAGGTCCGGGTAATGAAGGACATGGTGAACTGGTTTAGGGTTTAAGGCTTGGTGTTTAGGGTCCCTAAACCTTCAAACGCAAGGGGTCGCTGCTCACAGACGGGCAGCCGTGGACCATCTGAAGATAAATACCTGGAACCAGAATAACAGCCTACATGACGCAACATAAAGGGTTAGGCCACTATGATGGGGCATTTAAGGGTTTAAGTAGCCCTAGGAGGTTCATCCCTTACCCAGCATGACCCTAAACCCTGCAACTCTTCTACAACACTCCTTAAGACCGTATGACACCGAATCTTTTACTTCGACTTAAACTAGACCCCACAGTCCCAGTACAACCTCACCACCTCCTACCTAAACCCGCAACCGGGGATTAGGTTTTTTATGTAGAGTTTAGGGGCTTTCCAGCGCAAAATGTGTTTGTGGCCAGGGATGTTGAGGGTTTAGGGCTGACTTCCTTCATCCCAAAACCCTTGCAAACCCTAAACCAATCTGAACCCCTTCAGCCCCGAATCACGAGTGCTACCATGAGGGCTTTAAGTATGGCTTTTGGTGTCGTCGGGTTTTGGGGATTTTGGGCTTTAGGGGCGAAGGGTTGTGAAGGTTTCTGACCACTTGTGGCTTTCTACTACAGTACGGCAGTGTGTCAGCCGGAGCGTGAGAAGGTGGGGGCTTGGGGATGTAAGATGCGGAGCTTTCTTCAGATTTTGTGGGGTTTAGGGTGCAGGCTGTGATTTCCGAACCTTCAGGCGAACAGATGTTCTTAAATCCCTATCCGCGACCCAAAGCCCTGGGAACCCTATAAGCCCTGCAAGCCGTAACCCTCAACTCGAAACTGCCAACAACAAACAGTTCAGGGTGCTTAGGATTCAGGATGCGCGTTCCCCCTTAAACCTTAAACCCTAAACCCTAAACCCCAAACCCGAAACCCTAAACCCTAAACCCTAAACCCTAAACCCTAAACCCTAAACCCTAAACCCTAAACCCCAAACCCTAACCTTGAACTGAGGAGACCCGGCGGTCAGAGCGCTCACGGTCGCCCAGTCCGCATCTGGGCCTGTACACGAGGTAAGTCTTGGTACTTTGCATATCGTGTATACATATATGTGCATTAATGTGTATATATATATATAAGCAAATGAATACACAAAAATATATATTTATATAGAGACATAGATATGCTACCCCCCCCCCTCCCCACTACCATGGATCCACCACTTCGCGCGTGGTTTGACGCAGAAGCTTAAGTAGTATGTCGTTTTGACCTTGAGAGGCGCCGAAAATTTCAAGAGCACAACCCCTTAAATTCATTTCACGAGGTGCATGAAAGCTATTTCAACGACAAGCTGCCGGATATTGAATTAACCCCCAATTACAAAAAGCAGCATGGCTTTCGAGTACAAAGCATTGAGACCTCTCGAGGCCTTTTGCTCTCCCACAGCTCGCGAGTGCTTTGAGAGTTTGGGTTTAGGGTTTCGGGTTTAGGGTTTAGGGTTTAGGGTTGAGGATTTAGGGGCTAACGGCTAACACATCTCAGGAGTTTGCTGTCCCAAACTCACGAAATGCCGAGAGGTCGCAATGTTTTAAAGGTCGGGGAGGAAGAACGAGTACTTAAACACATCTCAATCGAAAGCAGTGGAAAGTGGAGAACCGTTCTTTGTTGCAATCAGGGAAGGAGTGGATTCATTGAGATGTAAGTTCAAATCCCTCGT